AAAGGAATTAGATACTACACCATCAATGACTTGACCATATTGAGAAAATGCCTCATTCAGTCCCTGTTCAGTGGTGTAAAACGAAAGACCTGCAATGGTTTCACTTAAGTATCAAAATTTATTAATTTCCGTGAAGCAATTCAAAGGTATGCAGTGATACAATGTTTTCTGCGCGTGAATCATCACATGTTCAAGTATATCCAATTTGGAGGCAAAACAACCACTCGACGATGCATGAAGCCTAAAATTTTAGGAGAACAGTTGAAGACATAAGAATATCCAGTGGGACTACAAATATCAGAATTCTGAAATTATGTCAACCATCCAAGTATTTGTAACTACCATATTTTACAAGAGCCAAGTCAGTCTTAGTCAACCTACCTCAGACAGAATGAATACAATTGCAATATCCAGTAGAGACTCGCAAAAACTTCTCCTTTTATTGGAGAATAATCTAATGCTAAGATCCAAGAAACATGAAAGATTGTATAGCCAGAAGGCGACATATTGATATAGCTCTACCAATATTTTACATATACATCAGTCACATATTTCGGTTTAGGTAATTATGGAGGTGGACGTCTTTGGCTGAATAAGAGTTGAAAGATTTACATATCATAAACATTTTGATTAAGCTTTCACGACTGCCATGAAATTCTTAGGTTCAAATATTTTGCTATAAACTTTGGAAAACTATGTTCAGGCCCTTAAGCACAGTTGGAACCAAATGGTGGGTTATAAACTCTAGGTAAACAAATCAAGCCTGCTCACAGGATTTATAACTTCTATTCATACTATGTTTGTAATTGTATCCCTAAGATTGGCCTCAAACAGAATTCAGGCTATTAGTTTGATATAAAATGTAGACATTGCATCATTTGAATCGGAATTAGATTACCTATCTTTTATTTTTATTTTGGCATAAACTTCTCTCGAACTACATATACAGACTCGCCTACCTCCACTATCATTTCATGATTCACCAATCAACCCTTCGAAAAAATAACTTCAAGACTCAGACTAAAAAAGTTCCCAAACTCAATCTCCTTTTCTTCTAATTACAATCAAGAGAATCCCGAACTCAGCAAGCTCAAAATCGAGCTGAAGTCACTTGCACTGTATCTCATTCAATTTCAAGCTCAACTAAGACAAACATTTGCTCGTAATTCAGCTCGACCCCAAAAATCCCCAGCGCCTTTGTAAAACGTAGTCAAACATCAAGCGTGCTGATTTGATTTGCAGATGAACTTGATGCATTTTCAAATTTAAAGAACAATACATCACATAAGGAATTATACATTTCATAATTCCAAAATAAATTCGACGAAAACAGACGCATTAACGAGGAACAAATTTCGAGGACAGCATAAACCCGCCATAAACCCCGAAAAGAACAATTAAAAAAAGTGCAGAAAAACAGGGGAATTGATAGTATATTACTAAGAGTATAATAGCTCAAATTCTTGTGTCGGTCATAAGGTAACTAACCTCCTACGAAGAGCTTGGACGCTATGCCTCTGCAAGAAACGTAAAGTGCCGGAACTAATGATGACGATGATAGAAAACCGGAAGCGGGCTTCGGGAGATGAGACGAAAACGCGATGCTCTTTGACAGCTTTCTAATGGCCGCCATGGTTAGATTGATCAGTGCAGGGAAGGACAGAAGGGTGTTGAGTATGTATCACTGTATCTGTAGTTTAGGGTCTGCCACTGCTATATTATTAACAGTGGGTAGGGAAAGTATATTATTTATAGTCTTTTTTTTTCGGAAGTATATTATTTATAGTCAAAACAAATGTATATATATAATAAGAATAATTATTTACTAAAAATAGCAGTTAAAAATTTTTGGAGCATTTAATGCATACATTTTTTAAAATTTTTTAAATGTATGTATTAATTGCTTTCATATATGCGTTTTCAAATAAGATCAAATCACACTACAAAAAAATTTTTATGTTCCAACGAAAAATCCTATGGTAATATATTTCAATGGAAATTCCAACGGATATTCCAATGGTATAACTTCCGTTGGAATGATTCCAACAAAAATATTCCGTTGGAATGTATTTTTCATTGGAATTTTAGATGGAATTTGATGATTCCCACAATTATATTTCCAACGGCTTTTCGCCATAGGAATTTCCGTTGGAATTTTTATTTTCACCACCGTTGAAAAATCTACCGTTGAAATCGTCAAAATCAAACGAAAATTCCAATAAAAAACTCATTCCAACGAAATATTTTTGTAGGAATTTTCGTTGCATAATTCTAACGGAAATAATAACATTAAAATATCCATTGGAATTGTCGTTGGAATTCTATTGGAATATATTTCCGCTGGAATTTCATCATTTTCTTGTAGTGTCAGATATGATCAACAATATTATTTCCTTAAATAATTTTATTAATATCTGCAATACTGTAGTGCCCCGTTTATTTGTGGTTTATTTGAGAATTTTATTATTATTGATATTATTATTTATTATGGATGATTATTATTTTTGTGATAATAGCGATATTATTATATTATTTATGAATGTCTTAATATTATTTGCCTAAATGTGATTAAATGCTAATTGTCTAAATGTCTAAATAATTTTTGTTATTATTATTAAATGTGAATAATATGTATTAAAATATGTAAAATAAATATATTGTTCGTTTATTTTTTTATCGTGCGTTTGAATCGGAATCGAGCCCGAAAATACTCGCGTGAACTGAACCCGAGCCCGTGAGCCAATTTAATGTCGCGAATTGGCCCAATGGCCCAAAACCGGTTCGGCCCCTTGCCAAAAAAAAACTGGCCCAGCAGAAATTTTTTTTTTCTCTCTGTCCCGATCTAATATCTCCCTCGCTCAATTTATTTATTTTTTTTTCTGTTACCCATCGTGTTCATCGTCTTCTCAGCAAGATCGTTCCATCATCCTCCTCTCACCACCCATCATCACCAACCTCGTCGTCCGATCACCCCAGTCCCGTCGTCATCATCCCTCCGCCTGCAACTTCTGGTGACCCTTTCCTCCTCACGAAGCGTTTCCCGACGACCTCTGCACGCGAATTTCCGGCGAGTTCCTTTCCTCCTACGAGCAGTTCACGAGCCTGACGACGTACTCCCCTCTATTTGTGAGCCCCGCCGCATCCAACGACCACGTGAAGTTCTTTCCGGCCGCTCGCCACCACAACGAAGCCACGACCTGCCGCTGACCGCTGCTCCTCCGTCGACGAGCAGCAGTACACCGAAGCCACCCTCGCGTAAGCTTTTCCGACGACCTGCTTCTCCATGAAGCTTTTCCGGCGAGTCTCCTCCTCTGCAGCAGCACATCCGACGGGTCTTCTCGGCCATCGCAGCAACCCCGCAACCGAGAAGGACCACCGCAGCTCCTTCCTCGGCGAGCCGCGCAAAGCCGTCGAGCCCCGTCGAGTCGTCTTCTCTCGTTCGAACCTTTCTCGCTCGTTTCCCGAGAACGGTATCGAGTCTCGACCCCTCGTTTATTTTTACGTGATTAATGTTATGTTCGGTTGTGTTTTACGTGTTCGTTGAATTATTATATACGTGTTCGAATTTTTCGTTATGCAAATTATTCGTTATTTTATGTGAAACTCGTCGATTCGTGCGAATCGAACGAGAACTCGTCGTAAGTGAATAGTTGCTGTGAATTTAGGAACTTAGGATTTTTACGAACACGATGGCGCTGACCTTGTGTCGATTGGACTTGTAAATTGGTAGTTATGATTTTTCGAAAGTTATAATTGCTGTTTGGAATGTAAAATTCACCATAAATTTAATACTGGTCCGATTGCCTTGAAATTTTAGGTGCAGCTGTTTTTGGTGAATTTGTAGCTTGTGTAAACTTTTCGTGATTTTTTGAAAATCTGTAGCTATTTTTAAAAATTATATTGATTTCTGTCCAGATTATTGTTAAATGCGTAATTAATTGTGTATTGCTCCATTTTGTATGAAATTAGAATATGTTATGTTTCTGGCATGTTTAGGTATTGTATAAAAGTTTTAGAATTTTTGGACTAGGTTTGATAGGGTTAATAATTTAATTGGTGTTTCTGCCCAAATTTGTTTTAATTGTGATAAATTGGTCCGAAGCTAAACCATTCTGAATTTTTTGTTGAGATGCTGATAATGTGATGTTTAGCCTACTGTACAAATTTTGGAATATTTGGAATTCAGTTGGGTTCAGTTGTGATATATATGTGATCATTGGCTGAATGTTGTTTTAATTTTATAAATTCATATACTGAGTGTTGAAGGCTGATATTTTTATGTGTTGTTGTTCACGAGCTGATGTTTCTTAGATAAAAATCTTATGGCCTGAATCGTTCTAATTTAGACTCGTTTTTATCGAAAAACTTGTTTGAATTTTATAAAATTGTGTATAACGAGTTTGAGGCTAAAACTTGGTGTTTTTGCTAAATACTGGAAGGTGAATTTTATGTAAAATTTTCAGGGCCTAACTCGTAGGTTTGATATACCTTCTAATTCAAGTGTAATTTTGAAAATTGTTTTTATATGGTGATTTTCGGTTATGTGTTGTTGACCGAATTTGCTATGTGTCTACATGCGACTCGTTTGTTTGTCTTTCACTTGCAATTATGTAAACTTGAATATGTGGTTTGATCGAGTCTAAGTCCTAGTGTTCCCATATCCACAGAACTTCACGAACCACTTGGTCGAATCGAGTTCGGCTAAGTCAAATTGTGAATTTTCTACTTAGGTCTAGATTAAAGTGTTGACTTTAGTATCTGGACTTAATGTAGGTGTCTAGAGGTGTTGACCTCGTCTTACTTTCGAGATTCGTGATTTGATCTGTTGCTGCATCCAGGTGGGTACATTTATGATGTGTTTCATATTTATCGCACTTAGTATTTCGTGTAATGTTTCTATTGAAAATTTTTGTATGCATGAGAACTCTAGTCTAAGCGTCCCGAACGATAGTGCTTTTGATGAATGCGAAAGCAGTAGGAGGTCACCTGCCCGTTGTATCCGGGAGGGACGCCCCATGCCGTTGTATCCGGAAGGGGAAAAACATCTTTGCTGTCTCCTGGAAAGGATCCTATGAACCGTTGTATCCGGGGGTGGGAGGGTTTCCAGTTACAGCCATGCCGTTGTATCCGGAAGGTTGTTGTATGTACATAGGAGGTTTGCGATAGGGCCGGGTAGGGGGTTTAGGCTATGAATTCTATGCATACTGATACTGAATACTATATACTCTGGTTACTTGTTTTTAAAATTATTATACGAGATAATTGTGCGATAATGGTGAGCTTGTTGGTTGCTCACCCCCATTATTTGTTATTGTCTTCTCTCTTCCTTTGAATTAGGTTGAGACGAGCTGGAGGCGGTGGTGTAGGACAAGCGAGATGGTGGTCAATATGTGATAATATCTTATGCTTCTGCATGAACTTGCTATTTATTTATTTGCTATCATACTTTGGATTATTTATTGCTCTCGCTTTTCGAACTAAGTTTAGTCTATTGAACTTTGATCATGCTAGACCTTTGAAATGATTTTGAGACGTATGTTTTATGGGATTGTTTATTTTGATAGCTCGAGCATGTGTAGGTTCTTTGAATTGTTGGATGTGTTTGTTTGCTGTTGTTAGTGAGTAGCGCCCGTTTCTCGTTAAACGTTTTAATTTGGATTTAAAAAAAAAAAAAAACTCTGATTGTTATTAAATAAATTCGGTAAATTCTTTAAAATAAAACGGGGGGTTACAGTTTGGTATCAGAGCCAGTCTGCGTTCCTGTAGACTGGCATATATGTGAAAACATGTTTATGTGTTTAATGACCATTTGACCACTCGCTTTCGTCTCGCCGCGCCAGCTCAAGGTATGAGTTTTAGTGTTTTGATTATTGTCGATAATGTGATTATGGTTTTTTCTTTTATTGGGGCTTAGGAATTACCCTCCGTTTATTCGGACTTGAACTCTAGTGGTGTAGAGTTAAGTGCCGACTTTAGAGATTTTTGTTGTGAGTTTTTTGTTGGGTGTTATCGAGTTAAGTTCGGTCTATAGCAGTGCTCTCGTTATGAGTTTCTGTTTAGTTCCATCGAATGAGAATCATTCGTAAGCCATCTCGAAAGTGAAGGCTTAAGTAAAGGGAACAGACAACCGAAAGAGTCCCAGGTGTGTGGATTATTCGAAAGTCTGTGACTATTGTGGATAGAACTATTAGACGCGTGTAGAACCCGGCTAATGGGAATCGTGAGTGTAGTCTAAGTGTTGGGTTCAAGTTGATGATCCGACCACTTGTTCTTGTAGATTCTTGGAGATCAGTTTGATGGCTGAATTCCTTGTCATAATTTGCCCGCTATCATCCGTTCCTTTCTCATTAGTTTGTCTCGTGAATTCTTCGTGGGTATTAGAACTCTGTTGTTGAGTTATTGATACCCACTTTATTATTTATGGCTGAGTTGTTATCATATAAATTCGAGCCTTGACTTGTCATCCGAACCTTCGCTTCGTGATTTTCGTACGTTTTAAGAGTTGGGTTTGAAAAACCTCCTTTTCGAAAACCTTTAATTGATGGCTGTTTAATCGTTGTTTTGACCCCCTAAATTCGATTGATAGGCTTTGAACTCTTCTGATGAGTTAAAGTCCAATCTCTTATGTTCCCTCTCGAACAAGAACCAAGTAATTATCCATCGTGTGCTGGAAGATGTGACCAAAGTTCTTCAGGAGCGCGTCCAGTGTTTCTGGTTTTTTGG